ATAGATGGAGATATTACCGCTCCAGGCTATGCTTCTGCAGCCAGTACATTAAATCAGCCCAAAGGTGCTGTCCAAAGGTGCCCCCTGTGCTCCTTCATCCAGAATGGAGGAGCTCTAATACAGGAGGTGTGTTACTGGCCAGATCTCCAGGTGAAAAGAAAGGGAAAAAGAAAACTAATGCAATGCAGACACCACATCTAATGATTGGTAAACTGAATTAAACTGAATCCATGTCCTGTGTACTGTGGGAGACCAGATATAGTGAATGCAGGGTCCGGGTAGACCAGATATAGTGAATGCAGGGTCCGGGGAGACCAGATATAGTGAATGCAGGGTCCGGGTAGACCAGATATAGTGAATGCAGGGTCCGGGGAGACCGGATATAGTGAATGCAGGGTTCGGGGAGACCAGATATAGTGAATGCAGGGTCCGGGGAGACCAGATATAGTGAATGCAGGGTCCTGGGAGACCAGATATAGTGAATGCAGGGTTCTGCGGAGACCGATATAGTGGATGCAGGGTCTGCTGAGACCAGATATAGTGAATGCAGGGTCCGAGGAGACCACATATGTGATGCAGGGTCCTGGGAGACCGGAGATATAGTGAATGCAGGGTCCGAGGAGACCAGATATAGAGAATGCAGGGTCCGGGGAGACCGGATATAGTGAATACAGGGTCCGGGGAGACCAGATGTAGTGACATAGAGAATCCTGGGAGACCAGATATAGGTCAGAATCCTGGGAGACCGGATATAGTGAATGCAGGGTCCGGGGAGACCAGATGTAGTGAATACAGAATCCTGGGAGACCAGATATAGTGAATGCAGGGTCTGGGAGACCAGATATAGTGAATGCAGGGTCCGGGGAGACCAGATATAGTAAATGCAGGGTCCGGGAGACCAGATATAGCGAATGCAGGGTCTGGGGAGACCAGATATAGTGAATGCAGGGGTCTGGGAGACCAGATATAGTGAATGCAGGGTCCTGGAGACCAGATAAGGATATGCAGAATGGGAATGCAGGGTCTGGGGAGACCGATATAGTAAATGCAGGGTCCGGGGAGACCAGATATAGTGAATGCAGGGTCCTGAGAGACCAGATATAGTGAATGCAGAATCCTGGGAGACCAGATATAGTGAATGCAGGGTCCGGGGAGGCCAGATATAGTGAATGCAGGGTCCGGGGAGAGCCAGATATAGTGAATGCAGGGTCCGGGGAGACCAGATATAGTGAACGCGGGGTCCAGGGAGACCAGATATAGTGAATGCGGGGTCCGGGGAGACCAGATATAGTGAATGCAGAGTCCTGGGGAGACCAGATATAGTGAATGCAGGGTCCGGGGAGACCGGATATAGTGAATGCAGGGTCCGGGGAGACCAGATATAGTGAATGCAGGGTCTGGGGAGAATGATATAGTGAATGCAGGGTCCGGGGAGACCAGATATAGTGAATGCAGGGTCCGGGGTTTAGTAACACTTTAAGTATTTTAAAATAATGGTTTAGATTTGTTTCTAATTTAACAGAATCTTTATTAAAAAATTAATAATATAGGATTAGGTGTCAAAAAGTATTATGGGCTTTTTAAAGAGAACACACAGCAGTAGGTTTCGGCTTTTCAAAGTCTATATGGAGTCGTATGGAAGAAGGGGGAAGGGGGTTTCAGTCACCCTTAGCTGTACACCATTAACATGATTTTTCAGCAAAACAGTGAAGATTAGCTTGATAAACATAAAAAGGCTTGAGCCTAGTGGCTATTTTTTTTTCTCTGTTCTGAATATAATTAGTTATTAAATATCTATTCAATACACTATATGATCCTCTTAACAAAACATAACTTAAACAGGAACTTCAGTCCCTGAAATGCTGCCCCCATCCCCCCCTCACCAGTGCCACCTTCTTTGAAAACCCAGAACATGTGCTGAAGGGCTCTCCTTGGCCTTTGAGACCTGACAGAGATCTGCGGCACATCTGCATCTGAAGTCCGGGACCTCCATAACTGTGACATCCTAGTGAGGCACCAAGAGTGCACTTTCATTCTCATCTAGACAAGAAATATGGGGAAAAAATCTAATTGTGGGACAGGAAGGGGGAAATAACTTGATTTTTGGGAGAAGGTCTGCTTTAAAATGTGTCTACAGTCAAAATTTTTTTTTCAGTTTTGGATTAAGTTGTCAGGTACTACAACCTCTGCCAAGTTTTTATTGCTGTCTACAGTTTGCCTGTTTGTCCTGGTGACTAATGTCACAGGAATTATGGATCAGGAAAATCCAAAATGTTGTCACTGTAGTAGCAATTTTTGGAAAATCAGGAAATCTCCGGACACAGACTGTTAAGGAATACAACTAATTTATTAAGAACAGCACTGTTTTGACTCAACAGATGGCTCATGTTTTCATCTGCTAAGTGAGTTATAGAACACTTCTTACAAGCATACAGTGGGGCAAAAAAGTATTTAGTCAGCCACCAATTGTGCAAGTTCTCCCACTTAAAAAGATGAGAGAGGCCTGTAATTGGCATCATAGGTAGACCTCAACTATGAGAGACAAAATGAGAAAAAAAATCCAGACAATCACATTGGCCGATTTGGAAAGAATTTATTTGCAAATTATGGTGGAAAATAAGTATTTGGTCAATATCAAAAGTTCATCTCAATACTTTGTTATATATCCTTTGTTGGCAATGACAGAGGTCAGACGTTTCCTGTAAGTCTTCACAAGGTTAGCACACACTGTTGCTGGTATGTTGGCCCATCCTCCATGCAGATCTCCTCTAGAGCAGTGATGTTTTGGGGCTGTCGCTGGGCAACACGGACTTTCAACTCCCTCTAAAGGTTTTCTATGGGGTTGAGATCTGGAGACTGGCTAGGCCACTCCATAACCTTGAAATGCTTCTTACGAAGCCACTCCTTCGTTGCCCGGGCGGTATGTTTGGGATCATTGTCATGTTGGAAGACCCAGCCACGTTTCATCTTCAATGCCCTTGCTGATGGAAGGAGGTTTGCACTCAAAATCTCACGATACATGGCCCCATTCATTCTGTCCTGTACATGGATCAGTCGTCTGGTCCCTTTGCGGAGAAAAAGCCCCAAAGCATGATGTTGCCACCCCCATGCTTCACAGTAGGTATGGTGTTCTTTGGATGCAACTCAGCATTCTCTCTCCTCCAAACACAAAGAGTTGTGTTTCTACCAAACAGTTCTATTTTGGTTTGATCTGACCATATGACATTCTCCCAATCCTCTTCTGGATCATCCAAATGCTCTCTAACAAACTTCAGACGGGCCCGGACATGTACTGGCTTAAGCAGGGGGACACGTCTGGCACTGCAGGATCTGAGTCCCTGGCGGCGTAGTGTGTTACTGATGGTAGCCTTTGTTACGTTGGTCCCAGCTCTCTGCAGGTCATTCACTAGTTCCCCCCGTGTGGTCCTGGGATTTTTGCTCACCGTTCTTGTAATAATTTTGACCCCACGGGGTGAGATCTTGCGTGGAGCCCCAGATCGAGGGAGATTATCAGTGATCTTGTATGTATTCTATTTTCTAATTATTGCTCCCACAGTTGATTGGTTCACACCAAGCTGCTTGCCTATTGCAGATTCAGCCTTCCCAGCCTGGTGCAGGTCTACAATTTTGTTTCTGGTGTCCTTCGACAGCTCTTTGGTCTTCACCATAGTGGAGTTTGGAGTGTGACTGTTTGAGGTTGTGGACAGGTGTCTTTTATACTGATAACAAGTTCAAACAGGTGCCATTGATACAGGTAATGAGTGCAGGACAGAGGAGCCTCTTAAAGAAGAAGGTACAGGTCTGTGAGAGCCAGAAATCTTGCTTGTTTGTAGGTGACCAAATACTTATTTTCCACCATAATTTGCAAATAAAATTCTTTCCAAATCAGCCAATGTGATTGTCTGGATTTTTTTTCTCATTTTGTCTCTCATAGTTGAGGTCTACCTATGATGCCAATTACAGGCCTCTCTCATCTTTTTAAGTGGGAGAACTTGCACAATTGTTGGCTGACTAAATACTTTTTTTTGCCCCACTGTATATACCAATGATTACGTCACAAGGCATACATTCCTCTCTTACTTTCTATATTTTCAGCAGGCTTCCTAAACTCTTCAGAATTACCTTGGCCAGCAGCTGCAGATAAGAATCCCAGCTACGAACCGGTACACATTATACTCACAGGAAATAAGGGAGATAGGAGTGTGAGCTCAAAACTTTGCTTTTACAAACACAGGCTGCTAGAAGTGTTAGAGTTTAAAGGGGAACTCTGACATATCTGGGTGCTACCACATCACCAGAACAAGAGGTGAAGGGAAATCTTCCACAGGGGACACCTGCTCCAGTGACGACTGTCTATTACGGTAGAGATTTCCTCTAACTTCCTGTTGCATTTCCAGGCCAGCCACCAGTCAGCACCAGACTGGTCATGAAAGTTTGAATGTGATTGGGGATAAGCAAGTTTAGTTCTCCTTAAGAATGTGTTAATACATATGGCACCTTATTCATCAAATGATGGCTGTCTAGTTTAGATGACTAATATTCCTTTGGCTTGGTTTTATCGTCACAGATAGCTGCAGATTTCTACGAGTGCACACACTCCGGAGAAGTGGAAAGGTGATTACATCAAGTCATCGGAAGCAAAGAGAAATCAGCTTTCTTTAGGTCTCATGTTGATGAGCATTGGTTTCAAATGCAGCCTTTTGCATTTGATCACAAAGCTAATCAACCGCATGTTCCAGTGCTAGACACAGGAAAAGGCTGCGGTCACTTACTTTGCTTGCAGCGCAAATGCATCTTAATAGGATTTTCTATGTCCAAAGGAATGCTTCAGAAATAGCAAACACACTGCACCAATCTTTCTCACCCTCTTTACCTTAGAGGAAACCTGAAAATAATTTTTTGGTCCCAAACCAATTCCTAGGAAGTCGGAGAGAAGGATGCTCCTTACATTGGGGGTCAGTGGGAAGAATGCTCCCTTACATTGGTGATCAGTGGGAAGAATGCTCCTTACATTGGTGTCAGTGGGAAGAATGCCCCTTACATTGGGGTCAGTGGGAAGAATGTTCCTTACATTGGGGTCAGTGAGAAGAATGCCCCTTACATTGGTGGTCAGTGGGAAGAATGTCCCTTACATTGGAGGATCAGTGGGAAGAATGTTCCTTACATTGGTGGCCAGTGGGAAGAATGTCCCTTACATTGGTGGTCAGTGGGAAGAATGTTCCTTACATTGGTGATCAGTGGGAAGAATGCTCCTTACATTGGTGGTCAGTGGGAAGAATGTCCCTTACATTGGTGGTCTGTGGAAAGAATGTCCCTTACATTGGTGATCAGTGGGAAGAATGTTCCTTACATTGGTGGTCAGTGGGAAGAATGTCCCTTACATTGGAGATCAGTGGGAAGAATGTCCCTTACATTGGTGGTCAGTGGGAAGAATGCCCCTTACATTGGTGGTCAGTGGGAAGAATGTCCCTTACATTGGAGATCAGTGGGAAGAATGTCCCTTACATTGGTGGTCAGTGGAAGAATGTCCATTACATTGGTGTCATGGGGAAGAATGTCCCTTACATTGGTGGTCAATGGAAGAATGTTTTTTGGCATTCAATATGATCGTGGTTTTAACAACGTTACATTCCCATTGACAATGGAATAGTAAATGTGTTAACATGGGTGGAAAAAAATCGAATTTATTATCTAGTTAAATAAAAATCGAATTTATTTAGTTTTATCGTCACAGATAGCTGCAGATTTCTATGAGTGCACACACTTGGAAAGGTGATTACATCAAGTCATCGGAAGCAAAGAGAAATCAGCTTTCTTAGGTCATGTGGGAGCATTGGTTTCAAATGCAGCCTTTTGCATTTGATGTCACAAGGCTAATCAACCGCATGTTCCAGTGCTAGACACAGGAAAAGGCTGGGTCACTTACTTTGCTTGCAGCGCAAATGCATCTTAATAGGATGGTCCAAAGGAATGCTTCAGAAATAGCAAACACACTGCACCAATCTTTCTCACCCTCTTTACCTTAGAGGAAACCTTAAAATAATTTTTAGGTCCCAAACAATTCCTAGGAAGTCGGAGAGAAGGATGCTCCTTACATTGGGGGTCAGTGGGAAGAATGCTCCTTACATTGGGGGTCAGTGGGAAGAATGTTCCTTACATTGGGTGTCAGTGGGAAGAATGCTCCTTACATTGGGGGTCAGTGGGAAGAATGTTCCTTACATTGGGGATCAGTGGGAAGAATGCTCCTTACATTGGGGGTCAGTGGGAAGAATGCTCCTTACATTGGAGGTCAGTGGGAAGAATGTCCCTTACATTGGAGATCAGTGGGAAGAATGCTCCTTACATTGGGTCAGTGGGAAGAATGTTCCTTACATTGGTGGGTGGAAGAATGCTCCTTACATTGGTGGTCAGTGGGAAGAATGCCCCTTACATTGGTCGTCAGTGGGAAGAATGCCCCTTACATTGGTGATCAGTGGGAAGAATGCTCCTTACATTGGTGATCAGTGGGAAGAATGTCCCTTACATTGGTGATCAGTGGGAAGAATGCTCATTACATTGGTGGTCAGTGGGAAGAATGCTCATTACATTGGTGGTCAGTGTGGAAAGAATGTCCCTTACATTGGTGGTCAGTGGGAAGAATGCTCCTACAATGGTGGTCATTGGGAAGAATGCTCAGGTGATCAGTGGGAAGAATGCTCCATACATTGGTGGTCAGTGGGAAGAATGTCCCTTACATTGGTGGTCAGTGCGAAGAATGTCTCTTACATTGGTGGTGGAAGAATGAATGATCAGTGGGAAGAATGTCCCTTACATTGGTGATCAGTGGGAAGAATGTCCCTTACATTGGTGATCAGTGGGAAGAATGTCCCTTACATTGGAGTGTGGAAAGAATGCCCCTTACATTGGTGGTCAGTGGGAAGAATGTCCCTTACATTGGTGATCAGTGGGAAGAATGTTCCTTACATTGGTGGTCAGTGGGAAGAATGTTCCTTACATTGGTGGTCAGTGGGAAGAATGTTCCTTACATTGGTGATCAGTGGGAAGAATGCTCCTTACATTGGTGATCAGTGGGAAGAATGTCCCTTACATTGGTGGTGTGGAAAGAATGTTCCTTACATTGGTGGTCAGTGGGAAGAATGTTCCTTACATTGGTGGTCAGTGGGAAGAATGTCCCTTACATTGGAGATCAGTGGGAAGAATGTCCCTTACATGGTGGTCAGTGGGAGAATGCCCCTTACATTGGTGGTCAGTGGGAAGAATGCTCCTTACATTGGAGATCAGTGGGAGAATGTCCCTTACATTGGTGGTCTGTGGAAAGAATGCTCCATACATTTGGAGTCATGGGGAAAAATGTTCCTTCTATTGGTGGTCAATGGGAAGAATGTTTTTTGGCATTCAATATGATCGTGGTTTTAACAACGTTACATTCAAACATTGAAATGGAATAGTAAATGTGGAATTAACATGGGTGGAAAAAAATCGAATTGTCTTAGAAATTGAGACAAAGTATTTGTCAGCCGGCAATCAATGCACAACCTGTTACAATGTTATATCAGAATGTAATACAGGATAGAAAACCATGAAATAATATACACAGGTTTAGGTTGAACCTGGGTTCACACTGATGTGGTGCGGAATTCGCAGCATTTTCTGTGCGAATTCCGCACCGCATCAGAATCGCACCCCGAACTGCTGCTAGTGTGTATGTAAACTTAAAAAACACCCAAAATCGGTCCAAAAACGCAGTGCGATGTGCAGAATCGGATCACATGGGTGTGAATACCCATGCGATCCAATTCTAGTGCAGACCAAAAAAAAGGGTCCTACACCTTTTTGGTGCAGATGTGGTGCGATTGGAGCCATACAAAATGTATGGCTCCAATCGCACCGCACACAAATCGCATGTGATTTGCACAGGAATGCAGTGCGGTTCCTGTGCGAATCACATGCGATATACCGCACCGCACATATGTGAACCCAGCCTGAGAGTTAAGGAAACATTATACTGACATCAGACCAAAATGAGCTCCAACTAAGGAGGGGGGAAGGGAAGAGGGGCAATTGGAAGCCATGCTTTAACATGACACTGAATTCTTTAGAGCTAATTTATATATATGCGATGCAGGAAACGCAGCAAATCCTGAGTGCTTCCCGCACCACATTGAAATCGCACTTCGTTCATGCGATCTGCCATCAGTGTCAATCAGGGGCGGACTGACAACTCATGGGGCCCCCGGGCAATAGGGTATCATGGGGCCCCTGTGTCCTTGCCCACACTCAAAAAAGCCTATAAAAAGGTACCAGGGGCATTTTATGGTGCCCCCTACTGACCCCGGGTGTCTCGGGCAGTGCCCGAGTCCTTGAATGGTCAGTCCGCCCCTGGTGTCAATGTTAAATTAATGACACCCAAAAACAGATCGCAAATGGCAGTGCGATTGCAAGAATCAGATCACATGAGTGTTACGGTTGTGGAAATAAAAAAAGTTCCTGCACCTTTTTCATGCGGGTGCGGTGGAAACTGAGTCCATACTAAATGAGTTCAAATCGCACTGCAAAGAATTGCATGTGATTTAAACAGGAATGCGATGCTATTCGTGTCCAAATCACATGTTGATTTCCCTCACTGCTATAGTGTGAATACAGCCTTAAAATGGTTGTGAACCTCAGGCATGAAATATGAACAAAGCATAGCCCTCTATAGTGTGTACTTGACTCAATCCAGAGCACTAACTGTAATTTCTGTCTACTGTCTTGTTCCTCTGCCATCAGCAGTGGCGTCCCTAAGCAGGTGCGGGGGGTGCACGCCGCACCGGATGACACATATCGCACGGGGTGATACCGAACCCGCTCCACGAAAAGGTAAGTTTTAAAGCAAGCCGACGATCCCTGCAGGATGGATCGGATCTGCCAAGTGATCATAATGGATCGGGGGTCCGATCTATTATGCTCCCCAATCTGCAGATCCGATCCATTTTGCTAGGATCGTCATCTTGCTTTAAAACTTACCTTTTCGTGGAGCTCATGGAGAGATCCTCACAGGATGGATCAGATCTGCGGATTGGGGAGCATAATGGATCGGACTCCAATCCATTATGCTCAATCCGCAGATCCGATCCATCCTGGGGGGATCGTCGGAGGGGAGACACCAAGTGTTACTGCACCGGGTGACACCAACCCTAGGGATGCCCCTGGCTATCAGTTACTTCTGACAAGTTTTCCTGACACCAAGAGAAAAATGGTGACAGAGGAAGGCACAGCCTGTGATTGACAGCCTCAGCCCTGTTACTGTGTGAAAGGGGGGGGGTGTCCCTTCCCTCCAATCAGCTCTCACTGAGCTCTGCAGAAGGTAACTTCAGCTCCCCAAACCCCTGATTTCTGAAAATTCAAATAAGCTGTATAAATTTTGAACTTGGAACTGATGTAAAGGAAAAAGTCCTGAAGATAAACAGGTACAACTTATGTAGGAGGATTTGTTTCATCTCTGTGTATCTCTGTGAGGCCAGTCACTGGGTATATATAAGGGTTTACAACCACTGTAAGAGGACCGAGGTATGGCTGAACAGAACTGGCCCGGGTTATCTTGGGATATCCCAATCCATCCATCCTGGCTCAGCCAATCCTACAATCCCAACGCTGCCTTTATCTTCTCTGCCCCGCCTCCAACTCTTTAATTTATTATTCAGTAATTGCAGCCAGTGCCACCTTTGTGTGGAAAATCCATTTGTTTCTACATTCCTGGAATATGTCATGTTGGGTGGGTCTACAGCATTGCAGAGAATCCTTTTTTGCTATCTAGGCTGCAGCTCCGCATATAAAACATTTCTGCAATATGCACATAAAATACCACGCTGTGCTAGAACTGCCATGGCCTCCCCCTGTGCCCTACCTTACAGCAAGCAATTCTGTTACTCTACGGAACCCTGAAGGGGTCAGGAAAAGCTTGGGCTGGCCCAGCTTTATACATTTATGGCCGGCAAACCAGGGTAGGGCAGCTGCTGAAGAACTAGATGTCCCAGCTTACCCAGTAACTGACCATACTGGGACTTCTGGTTCAGTACCAGCAAGAGGCCCCTGGAGGCTTTGGTCTCATATACTGTACTGAGGGGAAAACAACCCCCAAACATCATTGAACCTCCACCATTATTTTACCGTCAATATATATGTGTCACATATATATGTGCAGGAGACCATTTGGAAACTCGGGCACTGCCGGAGGGCCCGGGGTCAGTAGGGGGCCCCATGAGATGCCCTGGTACCTTTTTCATAGGCTTTTTTGAGTTTGGGCAAGGACACAGGGGCCCATGATCCCCAATTGCCCGGGGGCCCCATGAGTTGTCAGTCTGCCCTTGTGCAGGAGGGAATCAAGACTTTTAGTTTCTTTTATATTTTGTTCCCACAAATTATATATTTCAACACAAAGTTTAACCACTTCCAATCCGGACACTTTCACCCCCTTCCAGTCCAGGCCAATTTTCAGCTTTCAGTGCTATCACACTTTGAATGACAATTGCGCGGTCATGCAACAATGTACCCATATGAATTTTTTAGCATTTTTTTTAGACAGATAAAACTTTATTTTGGTGGTATTTATTCACCACTGGGATTTTTATTTTTTTGCTATATAAATAAAAAAAAGTCCGACAAGTTTGAAAAAAAGTGTTTTTCTTATAAACTTTTGCAAATAAATAATCTTTCTTCATAAATTTTGGTCAAAATTTATTCAGTTATCTTTTTAGTAAAAATAAAAAAACCAAAATTACTGGTAGTTTATAACCAAAAATTATGATGTTTCATAATTTTTATTTTATAATATAATCCAAATTAGTTTATAACCAAAAATTATAATTTTTGAACACTTTTTTTGCATTTTTATTTTTTATATTTTTTTATTTAAATTTTTTTTTTTACATACTGTCACCCTAGCAGTACAGTGTCACCATGGTGACACTGTACTACTTGTGGGGGTGATGAAGATTTTTTTTTTTTTTTTTTTACACTGATTGCTTTTACACCCATATAGGATGTAAAAGCAATCATTTCTCTTTCCCTCTGTCTGCATTCTTGCAGTCATTGAGAAGTACTGAGTGAGCTGTGATTGGTCAGAGCTTGTCACATGGTACAAGGCTGTTGTGAATAACCTTGTACCATGTGACCTCTGTGATCATTCACAGATTTCACACATAGTAAGCAATGATGTCACAAGTGACATCTTGCTTACTACGCTGCATGTGATCACTGATTGGCCAATCAGTGATCACATGATTGGAACCTCGCACAGAGGTCCCGTCCGACGATCGGTGTTTCACTGTGTCTGGAGGCAGGGAGCGCGCACAAGCAGGGTGCGGGGAGGCCATTTATAAACGGCCACCCGACCCTGCACTGCCACCGTCCGGCCGTTTATATAGAACGGCTGGTCCGGAAGTGGTCAAAGTACGTAGAACTGTAAGCAGGGCTTTTTATCTCTGAAAATGGGTGTAGGTCCCCCTTTCTGAGTCACCCCTTGTCTCCCCCTCTGCCCTCCTCTACTACCGTCCCTTTGAAAGAATACAGAACCAAGTATCATTGTGTGATGCTCAGCTAATTGTATGGAATTTCTTAATTAAAACAAGAAAAAAGGTAAATTAGATTCCCTGCAGCAAATATTCTTCCCAAATATATTGCCATATATTTGAAATGCTACAATTTTTGGCCATATTAAAAAAAAAAAAAAAAAAATTATATATATATATATATAGTATATATATATATATTATTATACAGGATTTATATGGCGCCAACAGTTTGCTCAGCGCTTTACAATATAACGGGAGACAATACAGCAACAATACAGTTCAATACAAGAGGGTTAGGAGGGCCCAGCAGGGCTCTAATCCTCGCCAGGAACGCAATTTTCAAGCGATTTGGGCGATATCTGCGGATGAGGTTGGGAGGGCCCTGCTCTTTGGAGCTTACAATCTAGGAGGGAGGGGCTAATGGTACAAAAGATAGTAACTGTGGGGGATGGACTGGTTGGAAGAGTAGAACATTCCATTATTAGCTGAGGGCAGGATAGGCTTCCCTGAAGAGAGGTTTTCAGAGATCACCTAAAAGTGAGCAGAGTAGGCGATAGTCTGATAAATTGGGGTAGAGAGTTCCAGAGGAAGGGGGAAGCTCTGGAGAAGTCCTGCAGATGAGCATGGGAGGAGGAGACATGGGAGCTAGAGAGCAGGAGGTCGTGCGAGGAGCGGAGAGGACGGTTTGGGTGATATTTGGAGACAAGATTGGTGATGTCATTTGGGGACAGAGTTATAAATGGCTTTATATGTTATTGTTAATTTTTTGAATTTTATCCGTTGGGCAATGGGAAGCCAGTGGACGGATTGGCAGATATATATATATATATATACTGCATGTTGAAATGCTTTTTTGTTACAAAATATATGAAAAATATTTTTTAAAATACATTTCAAATATACTGTATATCTTTAAAAATACAAATCTACATTTTTGGAATGCATTTACAAATATATGTTAAAATGACTTTTTTATACTTTACTGGTAATACGATCGTGTTGCCAGCAATGTGTTTACAATAATTTAATAAAAGCTGCACATTTTAAAAATATTCTTAAAATGACATTAACTTGTTAAACCTTTAAGTGGTTGTGAACCCTCACATATACCCGGTGAAGTGACTGGTCTCAGGTGATAGACAGAGAGGAGCCAAATCCTCCTACATAAGTTGTACCTGTTAATCTACAGCTGTCTGTCCCCTACAGCCATTCAAAGTGCAGAATTTACACAGGATCTCTCTGAAAAGCAGGGGGCAGGGAGCTGAAGTTACATCAGTGAGGAGATCTCTGAGAGCTGATTGGAGGGAAGGGGCACACCTCCCTCCACACAGCACACAGGTACAGAGCTGAAGCTGTCAGTCTGCTAGAGGTCCCTCCCCTGTCACCATTTTTCTCCTGGTGTCAGGAAAACTTGTCGGAAGCGATTCATGCTGATTGCAGAGGAACAAAGCAGTAGACAGAAAAGACACTTAGAGCTCTGGATAGAGACAAGCACACACTATAGAGGGATATGATTTGTTCATATTTCTCCACTTTAAATGAGGTTTTTGTAATTGGGTTTAAATATATTGTACTTTAATAGGTGAACATGTCATTTGTTGAGGTCTATTCTAGAGCTGTCTTGGTTTGCCTGCAGGTGGATTTACTGATCGCAACTATGACTGGAGTTCTGAAGAGGAGGAGTATGAGAAGAAGTCGCACCCGGTGCAGGTCCTGATTGTAAAAGACGACCATTCCTTTGAGTTGGATGAGGGGGCACTGACCCGCATCTTGCTTTCGGAGGCTGTGAGGGACAAGGAGGTTGTGGCTGTGTCCGTAGCTGGAGCATTTAGGAAAGGAAAGTCATTCCTCATGGACTTTATGCTGCGGTATATGTACAAAACCGTACGTAAATATTTTCAGCTAACCTCTGCTTTCTCCTGTTACTCTAAGGCTAGGTTCCCACCTATGCAGTTTGTGTTTGACCCGTTTCTGAATTGCGTTTTTGCACTGCATTTTGTGTTTTTGCTGCGTTTTGTGTTTTATTTGTATTTTTTTTCTTGTTGCTAGGCAGATGTAAAATGCAAAATGCATAAAAAATTTGGCAAAAATGCATCAAAAACACGCTACATGCTTTTCTGCATCAAAAACACAACTTTTTGCATTCAAAAAAGTCCCTGACCCTTTCCAAAAACCACACCGGATGAAAACGCGGAGATGTGAACCTGTCCCATAGAAATTCATGTTAAATGGACTGTACTGCATTTCTGCAAAACACTACAGAAAACTCTTAGGTGTGAACCTGGGGTGAGGGCCATTCACACCACACAAACACACTCCAAATGTGTTCTGGATGCTTTTTGCTTACAGTACACAACACAAAAACTCTTCACGTGTCACATGCCTGATGAAGGGGTCCTGTGAGACTCTGAAACGTTGCCTTGCTGCAACTATGTGATCGTTCATTAAAACGTTTGGACCCGTATTGGTGATCCTCGGTGTGCGGATGACATTCTCCCTTTATGTGTCACAAGATAAGTTGCAGCAATGTGAACCGGGGCTTAGAAAGGCCTAGAGTGCTCTGGGAATCCTTTGTCATGTATAAATTGTTTATTTCTAAAACAAGGAATATTTGTATATACTGAAAAAAAAATATAAACTAAAACAAATTGAATAATATTGCCCTAAAAATATTATAGTTTCTATTTAAATCATTTTGAAGAGAGAAAGAGGAACAGCCGGCTAAATAGCAATTCCCTGTAATAGAAGGGGAATTCTTTCCATGACTTGAGTCTCCTTCCTTCCTTCCACTTGATCCTCCATAAAACTCTAAAACATGTGACACTTCTGGGAGTGTCAAATGCCTGTTTCTCTCCCCCCAACATACTGTTCCATCCTCTGATCCCTATGTCCCTACAAGACACAGCAGTGACATCACTGTTTGGATGATTGACAGTGTCACTTTAACTGAAAGGTCACACGGCATTAAAATCTGACCTGACTTCACCCTAATTCCTTTACATTTACCGGCCACTTTCTTAGGTCCACTGGTTCAATTGCTTGGTAACACAAATTGCTAATCAGCCAATCACATGGCAGCAACTCAATGCATTTAGGCATCTAGATGTGGTGAAGACAACTCACTGAAGTTAAAAACCGAGCATCAGAATGGGGAAGAAAGGGGATTTAAGTGACTTTGAATGTGGCGTGGTTGTTGAAGCCAGACGGGCTGGTCTGAGTATTTCCAAAAACTGTTGATCTACTGGGATTTACATCTCTAGAGTTTACAGAGAATGGTCCGAAAAAGAGAAAACATCCAATGAGTGGCAGTTGTGTGGCGGAAAATGCCTTGTTGATGTCAGCGGTCAAAGGAGAACGGGCAGACTGGTTGGAGATGATAGAAAGACAACAGTAAGTCCTCATGCACACGGGATGTTTTTACAGCGGCTGTTTTTGGCCTTTGACTTTTTTTTCTACATCCAGTAAACCCCCCAGCATGTTATCCTATGTGTCCATACACACACAGACTGGAATCAACGTTTTTTGGCTGAAAAAAAACCCAGGACTAGTGGGCTTCTATAGGCGTTTTTAGCTGTAAAAACACAGTAAAACGCTGCAAACCGCATTTTTTTACTTTTTTTTACCAAAAAAACCCCACCAAAAAACACGAAAAAACGCAAACATGAAAAAAAACGCGGCAAAGCGCTGCTAAAGATTAATGCAAAAATGCTAAAAAAAGCTGAACAACTCACATTTTTAACGGGACTTTACACAGCTAACGTTACCAGCGTTCTCAAAACGTCCCGTGTGAATGAGGACTAACTCATGTCAATATGGACCAAAATCTCTGAGGAATGTTTCCAACACCTTGTTGAATCTATGCCACGAAGAACTAAATCAGTTCTGAAGGCAAAAGGGGGTCCAATCCGGTACCTAATAAAGTGGTCGGTGAGTGTATGTCTCAAACTATAGATTGCAAAAAAAATTGTTTATCTATTTGCAGGAACCCGTCGATTGGCTTGGTGATTATAATGAACCGTTATCCGGTTTCTCCTGGAGGGGCGGTTCTGAACGTGAGACCACCGGAATCCAGATATGGAGCGAAGTCTTTTTGGTGGAAAAGCCAGATGGGAAAACGGTAATGGTTGGGTGTCACAGATGACCCTTGTTGACGTTTTTGGGGATGTATTCAGAGAGATGCTAACTACTAATGTCCATCTTTCAGGTGGCCGTGTTACTGATGGACACTCAAGGAACGTTTGACAGCCAGTCAACCCTAAGGGACTCAGCCACGGTGTTCGCCCTCAGCACCATGATCAGCTCCATTCAGGTGCAACCTTTTTCTACTTCCAGAAAACCTCATACAGTGCAGTGACAATGACTACTCTGTAAACCAGTGGTCTCCAGGGCCTCAGGGCCTGGTCTGTGCACAATTTGGCACGGCCACTTTTTTATTTTCTATTTATTTAATTTATTATCACTCCCACGTTTTGTCACTTTTTCTTACTTTTGTGTGTGTTTTTCACAGGATGGAGGGTGTGGGTCCTCGAGCATGCCCTGAAGGCTAGGGGGAGGATGTGTGGCCTTTTGGTTCCTTCCTCCCCTGATCCCTAGGGGGTTTTTCTCTTCGGGAGAGCCCCCTGACCAAGTACTGGGTGTCCGGCTCCGGCTGGACACAAGGAACGGTGGTCCACCAGGCCTTTTGGCCAGGAGGACCAAATGGGAACCTTGTCCCTGTCAGGAGCTTCGTGCCCCGGGGGATCAGGGTAGCGGTCCAGCCCCTTTAGGGGAAGGACAAAGCACACCACTAAGTGCACTTTTTCGTGTGGTGTTTTGCACTTGCAGTTTTTTTGTGAACACTTACGGGTTTTAGTTGCACGTTTGCGGACTTAAAAAAAAAAAAAAAAAAAAGTGGTCTCCAAACTAGCTGGATGCCGTCCTTTGCTTGCCTTTATCTGGCGTTTGGGGCACTGTTCCTCCCCCTAATATCAAAGATGGGTACTGTTTACTCCCACTGACCCCAAGACAATCTCTACCCCCACAGTGGTCACAGTCCGGCCCCCCTAAAGTCTGAAGGACAGTAAACTGACCCTTTATTTAGAAAGTTTGCAGAGCCCTGCTGTAAGGTATAACAAGGATGACATACAGTAGAGCACATTTCTCAGGTCTTCCCACCATTTTTACAATTTAAAGACTATCTACCTAAAACATTTTTTTTTTACATTTTTGTAGTATTGGCCAGTGTAGCTGTTTGTCTTTTGACCATTGTAGTTGATAAAATAATTAAAAAAATGTAATTTTTATGGGTGTAAAGTTTTTTTTTCCACTTCCTACCTTATGTTTGTTACATGTTTCCTTTCACATAGCCCAACATAAAAAAAATTTGATGCTTGCCTTTTGCATAAAACTCCTACCTGACTTTTGCCTTCTGTGCAATGTTAAAGCAGCATATAACTACCAAAAGTCTTTTGAAATGCCCCCTCCCTTTTCAAGCGGATTTGGGTTTTTGTTTTTTTATTTTTCTCTTCATCTATATTTAAAAAAAAAAATTATTTGGCCCCACCCACTGCAGGAGGCGGGGCAGTGGCACGAAGTCTTTAGAACTTTAGTTTTGAAAACTTTTTTTTTTTTTTTGATACACAGAAATTAATGTAACCTGATCTATAATACTACACCGTGAAAGTGGATATTCAGTTCTCTATCTCTTTTACTTTCAAGGTTTACAACTTGTCCCAGAATGTTCAGGAAGATGATCTGCAGCACTTACAGGTAAATATCATACAACTAGACTCCAGAGAGAGAGATATCATTTCCCCCGGTACAAATTATTAGTAATACCTCATCTGGAATATGCAGTTCAGTTTTGGGCACCAATTCACAAAAAGAACATTGGGGAACTGGAGAAAGTACAGAGAGGGGCAACTAATACTGATAAGAGGCATGGAGGAGATCAGCTATGAGGAAAGATTAGAGGAACTGAATGTATTCTCTACTGAGAAGAGGAGATTAAGGGGGGATATGATCTATGTGTATAATACATAAGGGGGGATATGATCTCCATGTATAATACATAAGGGGGGGGATATGATCACCATGTATAATACATAAGGGGGGATATGATCACCATGTATAATACATAAGGGGGGATATGATCTCCATGTATAATACATAAGGGGGATATGATCACCATGTATAATACATAAGGGGGGATATGATCTCCATGTATAATACATAAGGGGGGATATGATCTCTATGTATAATACATAAGGGGGGATATGATCTCCATGTATAATACATAAGGGGGATATGATCACCATGTATAATACATAAGGGGGGATATGATCTCCATGTATAATACATAAGGGGGGATATGATCTCCATGTATAATACATAAGGGGGGATATGATCTCCATGTATAATACATAAGGGGGATATGATCTCCATGTATAATACATAAGGGGGGATATGATCTCCGTGTATAATAAGGGGGGATATGATCACCATGTATAATACATAAGGGGGGATATGATCTCCATGTAGAATACATAAGGGGGGGGTATGATCTCCATGTATAATACATAGGGGGGATATGATCTCCATGTACAATACATAGGGGAGGATATGATCTCCATGTATAATACATAGGGAGGGATATGATCTCCATGTACAATACATAGGGGAGGATATGATCTCCATGTACAATACATAGGGGGGATATGATCTCCATGTATAATACATAAGAGGGGATATGATCTCCATGTATAATACATAGGGAGGGATATGATCTCCATGTACAATACATAGGGGAGGATATGATCTCCATGTACAATACATAGGGGGGATATGATCTCCATGTATAATACATAAGAGGGGATATGATCTCCATGTATAATACATAAGGGGGGATATGATCTCCATGTATAATACATAAGGGGGATATGATCTCCATGTATAATACATAAGGGGGGATATGATCTCCATGTATAATACATAAGGGGGGTATATGATCTCCATGTATAATACATAAGGGGGATATGATCACCATGTATAATACATAAGGGGGGATATGATCTCCATGTATAATACATAAGGGGGATATGATCTCCATGTATAATACATAAGGGGGATATGATCACCATGTATAATACATAAGGGGAGGATATGATCTCCATGTATAATACATAAGGGGGGATATGATCTCCATGTATAATACATAAGGGGGGATATGATCTCCATGTATAATACATAAGGGAGGGATATATGATCTCCATGTATAATACATAAGGGGGGATATGATCTCCATGTATAATACATAAGGGGGGATATGATCACCATGTATAATACATAAGTGGGGATATGATCTCCATGTATAATACATAAGGGGGGATATGATCTCCATGTATAATACATAAGGGGGGATATGATCTCCATGTATAATACATAAGGGGGGATATGATCTCCATGTATAATACATAAGGGGGGATATGATCTCCATGTATAATACATAAGGGGGGATATGATCACTATGTATAATACATAAGGGGGGATATGATCTCCATGTATAATACATAAGGGGGGATATGATCTCCATGTATAATACATAAGTGGGGATATGATCTCCATGTATAATACATAAGGGGGGATATGATCTCCATGTATAATACATAAGGGGGATATGATCACTATGTATAATACATAAGGGGGGATATGATCTCCATGTATAATACATAAGTGGGGATATGATCTCCATGTATAATACATAAGGGGGGATATGATCTCCATGTATAATACATAAGGGGGGATATGATCTCCATGTATAATACATAAGGGGGGATATGATCTCCATGTATAATACATAAGGGGGATATGATCTCCATGTATAAATACATCAGTGGTTCATATAGTGAACTCGGTGTAGTTATTCACCCTGAGGTCATCACAGAGGACAAGGGGGGCTCTTTACGTCTGGAGAAAAATAAATTTAATCTCCAAACACAGAAAGGTTTCTTCACAGTAAGAGCTGTGAAAATGTGGAATAGACTCCTTCAAGAGTTGGTTCTGGCCAGCTCAGTGGATTGCTGTAGGAAAGTCCTGGATTCTTTCTTAGATACACAGAATATAACTGGATATAACATTTATAGGTAAAGTTGATCCAGGGAATATCCGATTGCCTCTCGGGGGATCAGAAAGGAATTTTTTTCCCTGCAAGAGCAAATTCGATCATACTTTGCTGTTTTTTTTTCCTTCCTCTGGATCAACTGTGGGCAGGGGCGGACTGACAACTCATGGGGCCCCCGGCAATAGGGGATCATGGGGCCCCTGTGTCCTTGCCCAAACTCAAAAAAGCCTATGAAAAAGGTACAAGGGGCAGCTCATGGGGCCCCCTACTGACCCTGGGCCCTTGGGCAGTGCCTGAGTTTCCAAATGGTCAGTCCGCCCCTGACTGTGGGTGTAGGATTATAACTTTTTTTTACATTTTTTTATGGTTGAACTGGATGGAGTTTTGTCTTTTTTTCAGCCAGACTAACTATGTAATTATATGGGGCTGACGTTAAAACCTTGCACATTTATCATTTAAAGTGGAACTTCAGTCTCTCAATCAACATTGACTATTTTTAATCCTTGTGCTGCTAGCATTAGGAAATAGATAGGAAAGTATAGCATTTTTACTTGGTGGTCTGAATCCACATACAGTCTGAACTAGGAAAATCCACTCCAGACTGACATCCACCCATTAAGGCATTTTGATATTTTCATACTGTATCTCCTCCCGAAAGCCATCTCCCTGCTTGCATATCACCTGGCTGAGAATTCTAGAGAGGAGTACTAAGGCAGGGTGCTATGATGTTTTCAGGAAGAAATGTACGGCACCCCGCCAGCCCTACCCCCAGCCATGATCTGCCTGCATTGAACAGAGAAGCACAGAGACCCAGTGATGACTTCACCTAATATGTCATTAAAACAGAACAGTTTCATTTAAAAACATTGATGGGGAAGGAGGGCAGGAGGAACCAGGGAAGGCAAAATATAATCAAAACAAACTTCTGCTTTAAGCATCTCAACATGCTCCTTTGGCTTACCAAAGAGAATAATATTTTTTCAAGCCTTTATTTTAAACGATTGGACTAATATAACTATCAGATCTTTTTTTATTATTTAGGTGACAGGTTTATGGGTAAGCATTCCCTTAAAAAAAGAAAGCATTTTTGGTTCTTGAAAAGAGCTGATGCCTGGATTACCTGTACACTGAGCACATAATAATAGGTTACATGTATCAGCCTGTGGATTGATTATAGGTATAGAGTGAGATAGGAAATGCCGTCTCCTTGTCACCGCCATCTCTGCAGAATGGCAGCGCAATGCTTCTTACTCACCTTGTGTGACTCACTTCTATCTGACACTGCGGAGTCCATGCAGAACAATTAATGTCTAGCCTAGCAACAGGCGGAATATCTCCAGTCCTAGGCATACGAAGGGAAGAGAACTCATAGCAACAAATTTGACTCCAGATGTCGGTTTCCTTGTGCAATTTGCCTGATGACTTGGCATTTATGACATAGCAGTGTGGCCGATATTAAAGCACTGCATCCAATAAACGTTAACCAAAACAATTTTTTAGCGACACTCTGGACTTTTGAGGTGCTGATAGATGACAAGCTAAATTGATTTTTTACAAATTAGTTAAAAACTTTCAAAAAACTGTAAAATCCGTGAGCATGAGACACCCCTGTATGGTCAATGTTACATTTACCATATAAATATTTTATCCATGTCTGTACCATAGTGATATATATATATATATAGATATATAGATATATAGATATATATATAGATGTATATAGATATAGAGAGAGAGAGACAGAAGAAAAGAAAAAAAAATGGATTGCTACATATAAAAACTTTTAATGTTGAAAAATTACCATACAAAAAAGTAATTAAAAATGGACACTTCTTTGTATGGTGATTTTTCAACATTAAAATTTTTTTATTTGTAGCAATCCATTTTTCTTTTCTCTAAGATATTTTTCGACCACAGAACTGCCGCTCACTGGATATTTTCTCTTTTTCGGACCATTCTCTGAAAATCCTAGTAAGTCATCTTTACTACGTCTACATGCCTAAATGCATTGAGTTGCTGCCATGATTAGCAATTTGTGTTACCAAGCAATTGAACAAGTGTACCTAATAAAGTGGCCGGTGAGTATATATATATATATATATATATATTATATATATATAGAGAGAGAGAGGTGTATATATATATATATATATATATATATATATATATATTATAAGCTTACTTTTAGGTAAAAATATAAAAATAGAGTTTACTACCACTTTCATTTAACCCCATATTTTGGGGGACTACATTGAAATTGAATATATGCTTTAAGATAAGACTGCAGAGGGTTGCATATATGAGATATGTTTTTGCAGGGGGTTGAATATACTCCAAATGGGGGTCTAACCCATAGCTGAGATATGAATATATAATCGAGCACTCGTGTCAGAATTGTACAGGTCATTATGTATTTTAACATTATTTGGGCAAAATATTAGTATTTTGTTGTTTATAATGCATCAAATAAATAACTAAATAAATAAATAGTATTTTTTATATACTTTTTTGCAATGTTTTGGATTACTATTTGTTATAATAATAATGTAGTATATTAATCCTTGATTTAACACGATTATTGGCGGGGTGTAGAGCCTAAGCCAGGTTTTTATGTGAAAGCTCTGTTGTAAAGGCTTCTCTATGCAGAACACATCTGCACCGCTAGAAACAAAAGATAGTGTTTCCCTGTTTATTATTATTATTATTTATTTAATTATTTCAGGTACTTATATAGCGCCGTCAATTTACACAGCACTTTACATATATATTGTACATTCACATCAGTCCCTAACTCTCAAGGGGCGTACAATCTAAGGTCCCTAACTTCATACATTCATACACATACATACTAGGGACAATTTAGACAGGATCCAATTCACCTACCAGCATGTCTTTGGAGTGTGAGAGAAAACCAGTGTACCTGGAGGAGAGTCATGCAGGCACAGGGAGAACAAACAAACTCCAGGCAGGTGGTGCCTTGGTTGGGATTCGAGCCAACGATCCTAATACTGCCAGGTAGAAGTGCTAACCATTTAGCCACTGTGCTGCCAGAATCTGAACATAGATTCTTCCATCCACAAAAAAGAGGTGGATGGAGGGCAATAGCTCTTGGCTTCATGGGTGGTTTAGGTTCATGGGTGCGCTGCCCCAGTGGCTAAATGGTTAGCACTTCCGCTTGGCAGTACTAGGATCATTGGTTCTGAGTTAAACAGTTGACATCCAATAAATTGCAACAGATACAGTAATAACGCCACGCGTACTGCGGCCCCGACTGCTTCATCAGGGGCCATGTGCAGTTTATATATCCATGTACTCCTTGAGACAGGTTGTTATTTTTCTAATAAAGTGGATTCAAAAGTATGTGATTTTATATCTAGCGCAGTTTGAAGTCGTCTCACTTTCATTCTTTGGTGCGGGTCCCTTTGTGTGTAGTTCATTTATTGTTATATGGACTGGATGCAGAACTCACAGCTGAAGTATTTGATGTTTTTTTTTTCTTGTCTACACCTAGCTGTTCACAGAGTACGGCAGACTGGCTATGGAGGAGACGTTCCTGAAACCGTTCCAGGTCAGTGTGTCATCTACTATATATAGATACCTTGTAATCTGCCACTGGGTCCAATGTGGCGGATATTGGCAAACATGAGAATGACTTTAATAATGTGGTACACAGTGCAGAAACCCATTCTGTTACATTTATGTATACTATGGTACAAACCAATCGATGCAAATATTTCATCTGTATCTTTGGTCCAGGCTTTTATTAGCAGGAAGTGGGGAAAGTGTGAAGTTGTACATTTTACAGCACTTTTATAATAACCTAAAGCTGAACTCTAGACAGATATGAAAGACACAGATTAATGCAGCTCTGTAGTTATTATTATTTTATTTATTTTTATTTATTTCAGGTACTTATATAGCGCCATCAATTTACTCAGCGCGTTACATATATATTGTACATCCACATCAGTCCCTAACCCTCAAGGGGCGTACAATCTAAGGTCCCTAACCCTCAAGGGGTGTACAATCTAAGGTCCCTAACTCACATTCATACATATACACATACATGGGCCAAATTTAGACTGGAGCCAATAAACCTGCCAGCATGTCTTTGGAGTGTGGGAGGAAACCCGAGTACCCGTAGGAAACCCACGCAGGCACAGGGAGAACATGCAAACTCCAGGCATGTGGTGCTGTGGCTGGGATTTGAACCAATGACTCTAGTACTGCCAGGCAGAAGTGCTAACCACTGTGCTGCCATTATTATTATTTTTAGTAGTAATAATAATAATAAAAAAAAAAAAAATATATATATATATATATATATAAAAATATAATAATAATAATAAAAAAATAATTAAAATAAGAATTAAAAAAATAACAATAAAAAAATTAATAATAATAATAATAAAATAATAATAATTACAAATAATTAATAATAATAAATAATAACTTCAAAAAATTATAAATTACACATATTTGTTAAAGCGGTATTAAACCCAAAAGCAAAAATGTATTTTATTGCAGCTTACCAATTCTTTGATGTGATGGCTGCATTAGTTTTCTTTGCTTTATTTCCTTTAGTGTTATCTGTTGATCCAGTCATTAAAGTGGTTGTAAAGGCTCAAGGTTTTTTTACCTTCATGCATTCTATGCATGAAGGTAAAAAACCTTCTGTGTGCAGCAGCTCCCCCAGCCCCCTCAATACTTTCCTGAGCCTTATCGCAATCCAGCGATGTGAACGACAGTCGTGGCTGTCCCGGGTGTCTGCCTCCTCTTTGGTTGAGACAGCAAGTGGGAGTCATTGGCTTCCGCTGCTGTCAATCACAGCCAGTCAGCCACTGAGGAGAGAGAGGGGGCAGGGCCAAGCCGCAGCTCTGTGTGTGAATGGACACATGGAGCAGTGGGTGCCCCCATAGCAAGCTGCTTTCTGTGGGGGCACCCGACAGGTGCGAGGGGCCAGGAAAGCCTGCGGGGTATCCATTCTAAAGTGCTAAAGAGCAATGCCAGGTAACAAGAGCAATCAGATAATGAGGTAGTAATATTATCCAGGAGACGTGGCAATGCGGAAAGGCTAAACATCCAGTGCCAGTATTAGGTGCACCGGACCTATTCCTGCCTTGCAGGGCTCTGATCCCTGCCAGGAACGTGATTTTCAAGCAGTATTTATGTTCTATAAAAAATGCAAAAAGGAAATGAGGAATAGTGGACACGAATACAAATCCACCTTCATGTATACAAACCATTAAAATATTTCCCAAACCTAAAAATATGACTACATTGTAATAACACAGCTCTGGAGAAGCTGCAGTCATGACCGAACAAACAAGTAAAACAACCCAGGGGGCCATCACTGGTCTGTAATTCAGTTCAGCCAGTCTTGAGATTCAGACACCCTGGCCAGACAACACAGCAAGGTTGGAGTTCTCACTTTTTCATAATGAGATCCATTGTAAAAACATATCCATCTAATGCATTTTTGGTCTGTAGCATTTTTCATATTTAGGTCAGTTGAAAAAGGTTCTTCATATAGTATGTTAAAATGTGTCTTATTCTCCAAGAATAATCCGTACGGATCCACGACTAAATGCACATGGAATCTATTTTTCATTAAAGTGGTTATAAAGGCTCAAGGTTGTTTTTACCTTTGTGAAGGTAAAAAACCTTCTGTGTGCAGTCCCCTGCCCCCCTCCCCCCCTATTACTCACCTAAGTCCCCTCTCGATCCGGCGATGTGCACTGGAGTCTTTATTATTATTATACAGGATTTATAAAGTGCCAACAGTTTGCTCAGCGCTTTACAATACAACGGGAGACAATACAGCAACAATACAGTTCAATACAAGAGGGATAGGAGGGCCCTGATCCTTGGAGCTTACAATCTAGGAGGGAGGGGCTAGTGGTACAAAAGGTAGTAACTGTGGGGGATGGACTGGTAGGAGGAATAGAAGATTCCATTATTAGCTGACGGCAGGATAGGCTTCCCTGAAGAGAGAGGTTTTCAGAGATCGCCTAAAAGTGGGCAGAGTAGGCGACAGTCTGATAAATTGGGGTAGAGAGTTCCAGAAGATGGGGGAGGCTCTGGAGAAGTCCTGGAGAAAAATATGGGAGGAGGAGACAAGGGAGCTAGAGAGCAGGAGGTTGTGCGAGGAGCGGAGAGGACAGTTTGGGTGATATTTAGAGACAAGATTGGTGATGTAATTGGGGGCAGAGTTATAAATGGCTTTATATGTTATTGCTAATTTTCTTATTCCGTTGGGCAATGGGAAGCCAGTGAAGGGATTGGCAGAGAGGAGTGGAAGACACTGAGTGGAGGCCAGTGGAGGGATTGGCAGAGAGGGATGGAGGGCACTGAGTGGAGCCCAGTGGAGGGATTGGCAGAGAGGGATGGAGGACACTGAGTGGAGGCCAGTGGAGGGATTGGCAGAGAGGGGTGGAGGACACTGAGTGGAGACCGGTGGAAGGATTGGCAGAGAGGGATGGAGGACACTGAGTAGAGGTCAGTGGAGGGATTGGCAGAGAGTTATGGAGGACACTGTGAATGGAGGCTAGTGGAGGATTGGCAGAGGGGGATGGAGGACACTGAGTGGAGGCCAGTGGAGGGATTGGCAGAGAGGAGATGGAGGACACTGAGTGGAGACCAGTGGAGGTATTGGCAGAGAGGGATGGAGGACACTGAGTGGAGACCAGTGGAGGAGGATTGGCAGAGAGGGGTGGAGGACACTGAGTGGAGGCCAGTGGAGGGATTGGCAGAGAGGGGTGGAGGACACTGAGTGGAGGCCAGTGGAGGGATTGGCAGGAGGGATGGAGGGCACTGAGTGGAGGCCAGTGGAGGGATTGGCAGAGAGGGGTGGAGGACACTGAGTGGAGCCAGTGGAGGGATTGGCAGAGAGGGGATGGAGGACACTGAGTGGAGACCAGTGGAGGGATTGGCAGAGAGGGGTGGAGGACACTGAGTGGAGGCCAGTGGAGGGATTGGCAGAGAGGGGTGGAGGACACTGAGTGGAGGCCAGTGGAGGGATTGGCAGAGAGGGATGGAGGGCACTGAGTGGAGGCCAGTGGAGGGATTGGCAGAGAGGGGTGGAGGACACTGAGTGGAGACCAGTGGAGGGATTGGCAGAGAGGGATGGAGGACACTGAGTGGAGACCAGTGGAGGGATTGGCAGAGAGGGGTGGAGGACACTGAGTGGAGGCCAGTGGAGGGATTGGCAGAGAGGGGTGGAGGACACTGAGTGGAGGCCAGTGGAGGGATTGGCAGGAGGGATGGAGGGCACTGAGTGGAGGCCAGTGGAGGGATTGGCAGAGAGGGGTGGCAGATATGCAACGATTAGTAAGGTGGATGAGTCTGGCAGCAGCATTCATGATAGACTGAAGAGGGGATAGCCTGCGATGAGGTCGGCCAATGAGGAGGAAGTTACAATGGTCAAGGGGAGAGATAACAAGGGAGTTGCTTATTCAACAGGGGGCAGTACTGTCCATTATTATTATAATACAGGATTTATATAGAGCCAACAGTTTGCACAGCGCTTTAAAATATAAGGGAGACAGTACAATTACAATACATTTCAGTACAGAGGGAATAGGAGGGCCCGGATCATGGAGTTTACAATCTAAAGGAAGGGGGAGGTGATACAAAAGGTGATAGCTGTGGGGGATGATCTGGTGGAGGTGATTCAAGTACAGTTCTTAGGTGGAGGTGGGGTAGGCTTCCCTGAATAAGTGAGTTTTCAAAGATCACCTAAAGGCAAACAGGGTGGGGGCTGTCCGGACATGCTGTGGTAAGGAGTTCCAGAGGATGGGAGGCTCTGGAGAAGTCCTGGAGGCGAGCGTGGGAGGAGGTGATGAGGGAGCTAGAGAGGAGGATAGCATGGGAGGAGCGGAGCGGGTGATTTGGGCGATATCTGTGGATGAGGTTGGTGATGTAGCTAGGGGCAGTGTTGTGGATGGCTTTGTATGCTGTGGTTAGTATTTTGGATTGTATATGTTGGGTTAGTGGAAGCCAATGAAGGGATTGGCAGAGAGGGGCTGCAGTCGCTGATCGGTTGGTAAGGTGTGTGAGGCTAGCAGCAGCATTCATAATAGACTTTTTTATTTGGATTAGACCCTGGAAAGCTTGTCCGTGGGTGCAACTAAAATAAAATAAAAATAATTATTCATAGTTTGTAAAACTCCACAGAAAGCAGGCATGAAGCAACAGAGTAACAATCTAAAATGTATATAAAATAAAATTGCTTTTACACCAGGTTATACAAGACCGAGGTGTCCTTATGAAGCACATGGTCTGCCTAGTTGATGGGTAAAATAAAGAGGCTAAAAAATGATTATCAAGTGTCAACTATCAAGAGAGGTGAATTATTTTTGCAGAGTTTGTTATCACCACTAGGTGTCACTGCTCCACCTGTGGACATCTATTGGTAACAATGGGCGCAGCATTTTTATGGTGTGTACAAGTCCGCCTGCGCTTTTCATTTTGTGTTCTTATCAAGTGGAAACCATACTGGATTTGTATCAGTTTTTTTTTTAATTTTATATTTTTTATAGTGATTTTTTTAAAATATGCTTTACATAA